TAGAGCCTGCAGCAGGGCCCGGCGTGGGAGGGCCGGAGAGCCCCGAAAAGTCCAGGCATCTCTGGGAGTTTTCCCGGACTTAGCGAGCTCTTTTACCCCCGCCCCACGCTGCAGCCCGGGCTGCCCGGGAGAAGAGAGCGGGCGCTGCCTGCCTCGTGGGGCGCCTCAGCCCGGGAAGCGTAGAACCGGGATTCGAGGTGAGGCAGGAGAATTTCCCGGGACAGCGAACCGCAGGGAGCGCCGAAGCAGCTTGGAGGATCCGGCTCCGTACTGGTTCCGCGAGCAGAGGGGGAGGGGTGGTCTGACGGAGTCTACTTTGAATTCGCGAACATCCCAACGCGCGCATCCTCCGGTCCTGGGTAGTTTCCCTTTGGTTTCATCAGTCGTCCCAGACGTCCAGAAGAAATCCCAGTGTCCTGTCTCTTCCCAGCCCTCGAGACACCTCCAAGCCCTCTTCTCAATAGGAGCTGCAGGCAGGTTTCCGAGTTATTTTATGCAGATATCCCGCACCCCACAAGCACCCCCTGTCTATCCCCACTGGTTAGGAAAGCTGAGAGATTCTTACCTTAAGTAAATAAATCCCAGCACCCTCTCCCCTGGTGTCTTGAAATCAAGCTCAAGCCCTAGCTAAACTTCTTGTACCAGAAATGTTTCCTTTCCCTGGTGAAGTTTCCACACTGTCCTCGGAGTTAATCACCCCCGCATTCGTCTTCATGTCCCGACCAGCATCTGCAGACACACACCCTTAAGTATATGTTGCCATAATCTTGGGGCTCTGCTTTAACTTGGAAAATCAGGAGACACCGCAGCGGCAAAAGGGCAGAGGGTGTCATATATCATATCCCTGGAAACTGCGAAGCTCAGCTGCTCAATAGCAAAATCTGTGTGCGTAAATCCTGCGGATTTATTTTGATGACTCAAACCTCTGATTGGGGATTAATGAGGACAACATACTATGAACTCCAAAGGAGTTGTAATTAAAGCTTCAGGCTGATGAACGTGTTTCAAAACCAGGAACTGCATCCTCTTCCCTTGTAAGTTTCTCTGTTTTAAGGTTTAGCCCTTAAGAAAATATGATTTAAGCTCCTTGTAAGCACTGTGCTAGTTATCTACCAAAAATGTGCAGATCTATAATCCAGCTTATTACAGCACAAGTTTTTTGAAGTCTCTTTTAAAATCTCTCTCTCCCCTCGCCTCTTCCCATTCTTTTCCTCCATGTTACTACCAAAATATAATGTCAAGTAAATTTTTCAAGACATAAAGCTGAAATTTCTTGCCCTCCTCCCCTCAACTTTTTATTTTGAACATTTTCAAGCACAAAGAAAGATCATAGTCATTTGGTAATGACCAGTGCTATGGTTTGAATATTTGTATCCCTCTTAACTCCCAAATGTACTCACACAAAGCAGTGGGCCCTTTAGGGGGTGATTAGATCATAATGGGATTAGTGTCATCATTAAAAGGGTTGAGGAACTCAGGTACTTCCCTCTTTGCCCCTCAGTTATGTGACAATGCCATGAGAAAGGTATCATCTTAGGACCAGAGACTAAGCCCCTACCAAATAACAAATTTGTATTGTCTTGATCTTGGACTTCTCAGCCTACAGACTTGAGAAACAAATGTCTATGGATAAAACACCGTCTAAAGCAATTTGTTATGGCAGCACAAATAGACTAACAAAATCAGGATCTGATCAAAGACTACACGTGGTGGTTATGTCACAGTAACTATGGTTCCAAGCATAACTCCCCTCCCCACTCCCTGCAGATACCAAATCAGAAGATGCCCAAGTCCTGCACACAAAATA